CTGGTCTCGTTTGCAAATTACGTCATTCGCTATATGAATTGAAACAATCTTCATGTGCTTGGTTTGGTCGATTCAGCAGTGTGATACAAAAGTTTGGCATGATCCGAAGTGCTTCAGATCATTTTGTCTTTTATAAGTAGACATCACGTGGTAAGTGTTTATACCTTCTTGTGTACGTTGATAATATTGTTTTCACTGGAAATGATCAAGAAGAGGTTACTCAGTTAAAGCAACATCTATTTAAGCATTTTCAAACTAAAGATATGAGACCATTGAAGTATTATCTTGGTATTGAGATTGCTCAATCACGTGATGGTATTGTTATTTCACAACGGAAGTACACGTTGGATATTCTTAAATAAACTGGCTTGTCAGAGTGCAACCCAGTAGACTCTCCCATGGATTCAAATTTGAATCTTCTTCCAAGACAATGAGATCCATTAGCTGACAATATCGTAGAATGGTTAGTAAGCTTAACTATCTCACACTTACTCGACCTAATATCTCTTGTGCTCTGAGTGTTGTGAGTCAATTTCTTCAGTCTCCATGCGATAGTCACTTGGATGCTGCTATTCGAATCTAGAAGTACATAAAAGGATCTCCTGGTAGAGGATTATTGTACACTAATCAATGTCATACTGAAGTAATTGGCTATTCAGATGCTGATTGGACAGTATCCCCCGTTGATAGACGCTCTACTTCATGGTATTGCATATTTGTGGGAGGTAATCTTATCTCATAGAAAAGTAAGAAACAAAATGTTGTTGCCCGATCAAGTGCAATGGTAGAATATTGAGCCATGACGTTAGCGACATGTGAACTTATTTGGATAAAACAACTTTTTCATGAACTCAAGATAGTGGAAGTTTCAGAAATGGAACTCTTTTGTGACAATTAAGTTGCTTTGCATATTGCTTCTAATTCGGTGTTTCATGAGAGGACTAAATATATACAGAGATTGATTGCCATTTTATTTGGAAAAAAGTGTTAGCTGGATGCATCACCACTCACCATGTTGCTTCGAATGATCAACTTGCAGACATTCTTACTAAATCTCTCAGAGGCCCTCGAATTAAATTTCTATGTGACAAACTTGGATCATACGATTGGTATTCTCCAGTTTGAGGGGAAGTGTTAGATATATTATATATAGGGGTATTTTTGTATTTATAATAGTATAAGGGCATTATACGTATTTTGGTGGTTGTATTATATAGAGTTTTGTGTTGTATTTTGTAAGTTTAGTTTTACGTCAATAAAAAATAGTGATATTCCGATTGAAGACGGCCTTGACAACCGCCCCAGTTCTCGCGATGCCTAATTTCCAAAAGCCTTTCGTTGTGGAATGTGATGCATCCGGCATCGGTGTAGGGGAAGTATTGATGCAAGATGAGCGCCTTTTAGCTTTATTTAGTAAAAAACTAGCGGACCGTACCCTGAGCGTGAGTTGATGGCAATGGTACTTGCGGTGCAACATTGGCGACCATACTTGCTGGGACAGCGTTTCACGGTTTGCACAATCACCATAGTTTAAAGCACTTGCTGCCCCAAAAGATTGTGACCCCAGGACAACAAATTTGGATGGCAAACTTGTTGGGATATAACTTTGAAGTGGTGTACAAGCCCTTCTGGGGCAACTTGACGACGGATGCATTGTCTCGGATATGGTACGATATGGATGGTGAAGAAGGAGAGACAGACTCTACTTTGTTAGCTTTGTCTTCGGTTGTGTGGCCGGAATTTGAAGAATTGGCACGGGAACAATCATCAAGTTCTTCTCTGCTCGCAATTATTGAAGAACTGAAAGTCTGACTCCTCGGCTCACCCAGGCTATGAGTTGTTAGGAGGAATGTTGTACTATTGAGGCCTATTAGTCATCGCGGAAGGCTCAAGTTGGATTCTAAAGTTGTTGCAAGAGTTCCATGATACACCGCAAGAGGGGGATGCGGGCACTTATCGTACTTATCGGCGCCTGGCTGTTGGCTGATATTGGCGGGGAATGTATATAACAATACAGGAGTATGTCCGGGCCTTCTTGGTATGTCAGAGATAAAAGTATGAGGCGATATCTCTAGCAGGCCTGATACAATCCTTGCCTATTATGTCTGCCGTTGGGAGGACATTTCGATGGATTTCATCACGGGACTTCCCCGCTCTCAGGGGTATACGGTGATTCTTGTGGTGGTGGACAGACTCAAAATTTGGTCATTTCATTGCGCTTCGTAGGTCCTTGTCTGCAAAAAAAGGTTGCCGAGATATTTGTACGAGAAATTGTGCGACTGCATGGGGTGCCGAAATCGATTGTTTCGGATCGTGACCCTTTTTATTCTTGAGTAATTTTTGGCAAGAGTTGTTCCGTTTGCAAGGGATGGCTCTTAAACGTAGCTCGTCTTACCACCCGAAAACAGATGGACAAACGGAGGTGCTTAATAGGGTTCTTGAGAGATATCTTTGTTGTTTTGCTTCCGAGCAGCCGCGTAAACGGGTGGGATGCCTTGGGTGGAATACCATTACAACACGGCTCATCAAGGTGCTTCAAAAATCACCCCCTTTGAGGTGGTGTATGGACAGTGACCCCCGGGGCTCCAACGTTTTCTTCCGAAATAATGTCAAGTGAATTCAGTGGTAAAAATTTTGGGAGGACGAGATTGTATGCTACGAGTTTTGGCTTATCATTTATCCCGAGCACAACAACACATGGTGAAGCAAGCTAATAAGCATCGTCGAGATGTGGAATTTTTTGTGGGGAACAAGGTATTTTTTAAGGTCCGACGGTACAGACAGCTTTCTGTTCAAGCAGACCGAAGTTCACACAAGTTATCCCCGAAGTTTTACGGTCCATTTGAGGTGGAAAAGAGGATTGGCAAGGTGGCATACCGCTTACAGCTACCACCACAAAGCTGTGTGCACCCGATTTTCCATGTGTCATTGTTGAAACGAGTTGTGGGAGATCATCCGATTGAAGGGGAGCTTCCGGACAGCTTGGAGACTTGCGAAATACCATTATTTGAACCAAGCAAGATTTTAGCTGAGCGGTTAGGTTCAAATGGGGAGCCGGAGGTTCTTGTTCGGTGGCACGGGTTAGCGGAGGAAGATGCAACGTGGCTCACTCAGGAAGAACTCCAACAACAATTTCCAGCTTTCCGCCTTGGGGACAAGGCGTATTTAACGGGGAGGCAATTGATACCGACAAACCTTTGGCAACGTCGGGAGGATCGACTGCCAATGGTTTACTCGCAGCGGGGAAGCAACCACTTTGAATTGATAGTAGCACCTTAATTATTTGAGAGTATTTTGAATTTTATATTTAATTATATTGTTAAGTCTAATAATAAGATTATTGGGTCATTAGGCCCAATAAGAAGTCATTAAATATGTTAAGAGCAAGTCTTGGGGCATCTAAGGTTTTGGGAATCAACCTTTTGGTTAGGATGGAAGACATTTCGATGTTTTCTATTTTCTTTATTCAATAAAGATTCATATTTTAAAAAATGTAGAAACGTGTAAAATCTGCAACAGTTGTGGTTTTGAGTGTTGATATATCACTAAGAACCCTGCCCTATCTATATGTACAAGGATAAACAACTACCTAAGTGCCAACCAGTTGGATGCTTAGGTGTATAACTATATCCTGATATGTAACAAATATCTGCTATTGACGCGTCCGCTGTAGTGTTGAAATTATCATCATTTTTTCAGTGATATGAGAATGAGTGCTTACTCCTTGCAGTGCTTTGTGATCATCTAATAACAAATAGTCATTGCTTCACTCTGCTGAAAATTGATGTGATGTGTCAACTCTAAATCAATTTCACGGAACTTGTCTCAATTTTTGTTGTTTGTGCTGATAGCTTCTATGGGTTGGTTTGGTTTTCCTGCATCCTTTTTGTTTTGTTTTATTTTTTTGGAGAGTTTAATTTCCAGTATTCTTAACTCAAGTGTGGTTGACAAGTTATAATGTGATTCTTCATTCTAAAGCTATTTAGCAACAATTAGTCCTATGCTCGTGTACTGTAGCGTTGAACTCACCAAGGGAATAGAATATGCCATTTTGCACAATATTTACCTAGAATTGACATGAAGTATTCTGAAATTGTATTAAGCTAATGGCTTGTAGCTCAAAATGATATGTGAATTGTGGAGTTATAGAGGATCTCAGCCATGCCGTAATAATCTGTTATGGGGATTGTCGATTTGTCATTATACATTTTGGATTAATCATAGTGAGAAAACTGAGTGATTTGGCATTTGTTTACTTGTGATTTTTTTAATCTATTTTTTACTCTTCAATCTATCCATTTCTATTTTTTAGATAAAAAAGCATCACACCCAATATCTATTTGATATTCAAAATAACAGGTTCAACAATATTTCACCTCCAAAACACAAAAAAAAACTAAAAAAAAAGAAAAAACAGTAGTGAAGAAATAAGAACTTTGACCTACACTTCCATGTTTTACTCCTATGCAAATACGAGTTTAGAATCATATTCCATTATATGCATATACATTGTGTAAAAGAAATAAGCCGGGCCTTAAGCAACTCATCTAACATCAAACTTGCAATATTTGTCTTACATTTTGTGGCTTTTTACTTTGATTATAACGCTTCCACAGTTTACATCATATATATATATATATTTAAAATTGTATCTCGCTCCTCTAATGTTTGACTATAACTCCATCTTTGCTTGGCTAACATGTAACATATATTCAATGTTTGTAGTCGTAGCTCTTAAGATATTGTGGTAACATGTGCTTACTCTTGAGACTCCACAAAATCCTTATATCTCAACAATTCATATGACTTCTATAATGTTTCTCTGTCGAATTAGGAGCTATGTTGTTACTGATTGCTGTTGGACTTTCACCAACTAAAACTTTTGAAAATGAACCCCCAGCCTACTGTGTTCTATTTCCTCTCAATATATAGGTGCCGCCCATAAGTTAGTATTTTTATGCTTTTACATGATTTCTTTTCGTGATTTTATTTTTGAGCAGGACTTTAGCAATGATGTGGAAGACCGAAACAGGCTTGCCCTTCCAAGTTATAAATGGCGCTTGATAATTTCGTATGACGGCACCCGATTTTCAGGTTTTCCTACTGCTTTTCTACGTGTCAAATTTGTTGCTTCTACTTCCGCTCAGAATTTGATCTTTAGAATAGAAGTTTGTCGTGGAAAGATATTTCTTAGGTTGGTATATTATTTATCTAGTTTGATTTAATGCTGGCTTTTGTTTCATGAGCTTGATCCACCTGACCTGCATGCTTACTGTTCCTGCTAGTGCCGAAAGTGTGCTTAACCGATCTGATAAAGTAGGAGTCTTTGTGTAAAAGAAATCGATGAAAAGGAGCAATGGGCTTTTCTTTTTTCCTTGTTTGGTTTATATTCTTCACTTCATGTAGACTTTGCCTTTTTTTCGATTTCCTAAATAAAATGAAAGAAAAGATGGCAAATGAAGAATACATTCATCTCTAAATTTCGTCACTTCTTCCCAAAATTCGACTCACAGCTTTAAAGAAAATGTTCTGGATTCTTTTATGTGCGATGCGCAGGATGGCAGTATCAACAGTCAACGCCAACTGTGCAGTGTCTGGTGGAAGAAGCTTTGACGCGAATCACCAAATTAGAACGGGATCATCTTGGTTTAGTTGGTGCAGGTCGAACAGATGCAGGAGTTCACGCCTGGGGTCAGGTCTGAACTGTTTTTTATAGCTCTCGAGCAGGCAAAGCATTAGTTAATGCTGAAACTCGGCTTTGAATAATTTTTCTTCAGGTGGCGCACTTCAACACACCTTTCAACTACGACAGCTTGGAGCACGTTCACGCAGCTCTGAATGGTCTTCTTCCCTCCGACATAAGAATTAGAGAAATTTGTTCCGTGCTTCCTGAATTTCATGCTCGTTTTTCTGTTAAAAGCAAGATTTATACATACAGGATATACAATGACACCGTCATGGATCCATTTCAGAGGCACTTTGCTTATCACAGCCTTTATAAGCTCAACGCAGCCGCCATGAGGAGTGCCGCTAGACATTTTGTCGGGACCCATAATTTCTCCGCTTTTGCTAATGCCTCGCACAATGATCGCACGCCAAATCCAGTGAAGAATATATTTCGATTTGATGTGACCGAGATGGTACCTCTTCCCCGCTATATATATATATATACTTTCCATGGAATTCGACGACAAGATTTGAAAATAATGTTCCTTTTCTGCAGGGATCTATGTTGCTGCTTGAAGTCGAAGGATCGGGTTTTTTATATAGACAAGTCCGTAACATGGTACGCGAACTCTTTTCCATCGAGCATAATCCTAATCCGAGTCTCGTATTGATTCTGTGTTTCTTTTTTCATCTTCTTGTCGACGTACCCTTGGATTATTAGGTGGCGTTGTTGATTCAAGTTGGGAAAGAAGCCGTTCCGGTGGACATTGTTGCGGATATCTTGGCGTCGCGCAACCGGCGGGAACTGGCCAAGTATGCGTTATCAGTTCCTCCGCATGGTCTGTGTCTGTATGGTGTGAAGTACAATGAGGATCATTTGGGACGTTGCCATCCTCGGAGTTTTGGTAGGAATCATACTATAACCAAATGCAAATTGCCATTTTATTGACCAAAGCTGTCCCTAACTCAGCTTCAGCTAGCCGACTGTAGTTGTGCAATATGTTTAAGTTAGAAGAGATGTTTTGCAGGGATTACTTTAACTCAATTCTCTAGTTTATCTTTTTGTTCAGACAGGCATTTAAATTATTTGTTTAAACACATTTAATGTCATTACCTTCACTTTTATTACCTTTACTATTTTATAATTTACTAAATTTATTTTTATATTTTTATTATCTAGTAATATACAAATACTGTTTATTTTTAATAATATACTTTTTTTTTTTATTTACTTACAAAGTATTTTTATTTTGAAGTACCTAATTATAAATTAATTATTTCATTAAGTACTTCTTTTTTTTTTATCATCACATCATTATTTTTATTTTTTTTACCATTACATTATTACTTTTATACTCCCTTCGTCCCACCAAAATTGAACCATTTGATTAGGGAAACAGTATTTAAGGTGAGGATGTTTAAATAGTTAATAATAATTAGTTATGATATTATTATATTATTTTGTATAATTAATAATATTTATAGTTTTAAAGTAAATTTAATATATATGATTAAAAAAATTAAAATATATGTTCAAATATTTAAAAATTATATATCAATTAAAAAATATATGAATATGGATATTATTTTGTAGAGAATAAAATTTTCTATAATACAAAGTAAATAAAAAAAAAATATTTTTGTTATTTATAATTAACATGAATCAATTTTATAAAAGATGTGTAGTTTTAAATATAGATAAAAATATTTATTTTTTTATGGAGAGATGTAGAAATAGAAGAATTTTGAGTGGGTGTTATGACATTTATGATGTTGTATGTTATGTAGTTAATTAAGTTAATTCATATTTGTTAAATATGTTTTGGTTTAATAATTTTTACCAAAAATAAAAAGGTGTCAATTGTTATGGGACAAGACAAAAATAAAAATAGTGTCAATTGTGTGGGGCGAAGGAAGTATAAAAAAATATCATATACTACTTTTAACTATCCACTATAATTAAAATATTATTATTTTTAAAATTCTTAAAAAAAAAAAAAAAAAAAAAAAGCAAATGTAAAGCTATAAAATAGTTGGATAAACTGTGATAATATTATAGAATTTTTATACTATAATTTTGATATATTAAAATTATTTGAATTTATCGGAATGGTGAAAATTTTTGTTTTGGAGAGTTTAGTTCAAAAGCTAGTTGAAGATATTTATGTTTTATTAGTCATTTTGTTGAAATTGAATATAAAAATTTTGAAAAATTTAAATATTGAAATTGATATATATATAAATATATTTATAATTAGATAAATCTAATGATTATAAAATATATAGATAAGCATAATATTTTGAAATAAAAATTGTATTTGCATAAATAAATTATTATTATTTTATTTTAAATTTTGAGTGTTAATTAATTAATTTAAGTTTTTTATTATTTTTATTGAAGATAATCAATTTTTAAAAAGATTAATATGTGTAATAACTGTACTTTTTAATAAATATAAAGAATTTTATTATAGTAAAAACTGAAAATCAATCACACGGTGATGAGAAATATGACTGTAACATATATTCTAATATACTATTAGAATTTATTTTTTGGTTTCATTTTTTTATTATACAACAATTCATTGCAGCTGTTTATAAAAATACATTATTATTATTATTATTATTATTATTATTATTGTTATTATATCTTATGAAATATCATATTCAAACTGTTGTTAAATCAATAAATAAAATCAAATTATAAAAGAATATCACTTGTTATACTTATGTATTTGTTTTTTTCCTATGGAGTTTTAAAATAATTATATAATAAATAGTTTTGTAAAATAAAAAGATAAAATACTCAAATAAATTATGTTTCTTTTTAAAGTTATTAAGTAACATCGTCGTGAATACATTTTGTGGTGCCAATCAAATAAGACAAGGAAGATATATATATTTTTCTGGACGGAGGAAGTAAAAGTTTCTTCCCGAAAAAACTTTACATCCAATATATTTAAGAAATATTACATCGTCTCAATAGATCTTCTATCTTTGTTTTGACATAATTTTTTTAGATCGTATAATTAGAATAGTTTTTTTTTCCATTTTGTCCATATTATTATTATTATTATTTTGTCTTAAAAGGATTTTATAAATTGTATTTACGAAAACAAAAATGAAAAAATTGGTATTAGAAAAATGAAAAAAAAAAAAAAAAACATGTTTTTATAGTCATAAACTAAAAATAATAGTTAATATATTGACAATATAGACTATTAATTTCTGAAAAATCTTAGAAATAATAGCAAATATATTGAAAATATATTGGGATAGAGCCTAGTGTTGGACAAATCCTAGCTTCCCTATCATGAAAAGTGCTTATTGATTAATGGTGACAAAATCAACAACTATCTTCCAACATGTTGATTAATTGGCAATCTAACTCAATTGATTTCCAGATTGGCTACATGCTTTGCTATTTTACCATTTTAAATTCAAATCAATATTATTTACATTGTACAATTTTCAATAAAAATATATTATTTTCTTTCGCACAATATCATATCAAACTACTATTTAAACAAGAACTCAAATCAACATCTGATGTCAAATTATTTTCAAACCACAATTTTGTGAAAACTTAAGTTCTAAATTGATAACACATTGAAACATAGATAGAATACCAAAAGTGTTACTCCAAAGAAAGAAAAAAAAACATTAGGAGAAAATATCAAAATCCAAAAGACATCACGACAAAAATTGCAAAATTGTCCAATGCCCTTGTGATGTAAGAAGCACCAATTCATAGTGATGGTCCTAATTGTGCAAAAAGGCTCCTCCATTCAAAGTGATCTTTGTCCAAATACCACTAATTATATTAAAGTCAAACATGCAATAAAAAAGTGTTATGAAATATAATGCATGTAGGCACAATTTAATTATACACATCCAATGTATGTGCTTGATTCATAAGATCTTTCAATATATATAATGTAAAATTCCTCTCATGAATGTTTCTTGGTATAAGATCTATGATTCTTGAGTAGTTCTACAGTTTGAAATAAATTTTGTTTTATTCTTTAAAAATAATATACAAATGTCCATGCAATCTCATCGAACTTGTAGGATCTTCATCCATTGTTAATAACTTCATAAAAAAAAATGAAGAAACTCCAAGGATGTGATTATTCGTATTGATAAATGCAGAAAATCAGTCGACATATGGTAAAGAATCCTAGCTATGAAAGCCTTTGGAGAAGTAAAGGAGATGTTTGCATTAGCTAGAGATGAATGTGTAAAAACTTTTTGGTGTGTTTGCTTGTGAGTTTTGGAGTGGGCACTACAAAAAAATAATATATTTGTAACAGAATTCTGTCCCTAAAGTTCACGTAGTTAACGTAATTCCATTACTAATTCCGTGTCTAATGTCATTAGTAACGGAAAAAAATAGATTTAGAGACAAAAAAGTTTTGTTACAAAAATGATTTTTTCTTGTAGTGGGGGTTTGAGTTTGAAATATATAGTAAAATTTTAAATTATAATAATTGTTTGATGACTTATAAATAAATAAGTATTAATATGATATTCTTAATATAAAAGTAATTGGTAGTATAATATGAAAAATAAAAATGGAGGAGGAACTAATGAATAATAAAATCCAAATTAGAAAAAGATAATCAACTAAATTTTCACTGTTCATCAAATTTTTTCCTCAAAAAAAATATCAAATCAAAATTTATTTTTTATATTATACTAAAAATTAATTTTATATTTAGAATATCACATCAATACTTACTTACATTAATACTTACTTATATCAACAACTATCCAAATTCAAATTTTTTACTATACAAATCTCAATCCAAAATCCAAACCCCCAAACAATCTCACCTACTATCCTATTGTTCAATTAACTTCAAGTAGCTTGCATTTTTATAGTTTTAAATGTTTGTAATATATATTATATCAATAGAATTATCAAACTGCACAAGTTATTGATTATGGCATGTTGCTGAAATACAGTGAGGTGCATACCAATTATGATTATAAAGGAGCAATCTGAAAATATATTCAATGAACCTAGTTTATGCATCTTTTATTTTTATTTTTTTGGGAAAATTTGGTTTACATTTTGTATTTAAATAATATTTGATGAAATATTTTGTAATATATATATATCTTTTTAAAAATAATATAATATTCAAATAGTAAAATTTAAAAAAATTTGTTAAGTAAACACTGGAACTCTATATTATGAGTGTTGGGGCATATGCATAACGTAGGGGATGAGGATCCCGACCCATAAATTACTATCAGCACTTTACATATAGTTGACTTCGATTTGAGGCGAACCACTCAAAAATGGATGCTTTAATTAGTTTTCAACGTTGATTTTGAGTGAGATTCGCCCGCCATTGGATATTTTCCAACCCTTTCAATTCGATTTTCCAAGAATAAAAACCCTTTGCCCCATCCAATACAAATCACCCTTTATTTTATTTTTTTTTCTTAGAGAGAGAGAGAGAGAGAGAGAGAGGGGATTCACATGAAGATGATGGCTCTACTTCTTTTCCTGCTGCTATTAACTTCATCTCCTAATTATGGTTAAGAGCAATATATATGTTTCTTAGTTGTTATGTAGTCTTCTTACCATAAACAATTTGGTACTGTTAAAATTACTTACAAAACCCTATATATTGCACTCATGGATGCAGCAGGTACCTGTCAAGGCATCAGATCGGACATGGAAAGCATCCCTAATCTTCCACGCAAGGTCAGCACACAACATATTTACACTCAATATGATTAAGGCACTGAGACTGAGAGATACACACAGATATAATTAGGCTCATTAGTGGCATGAAGTCAGTCAGTTTCTATGATGAGATATATTATATAAAGATGAATCGTGGTAATTAGCAGTTGTAGTTAGGGTTCTTGACATCTGATATACTATAAATTTGCATTATTCAACAGATAATGAATAGAGAGTTGAGAAGCATGAAAGATTCAGTAGTAGTGCTGGATTACTGTCAAGGTGGACCAAACACTTCCCATGATCCGCCTGGCAGAGGCAAACACTGTTGACATATATATATATATATGTTCAAGAAATAATATAACCACTCATCACCCAAACACAATTTATGCGTTGTGAAATCATATTATATATTCCCAATCTCCATGGATATTATAAGTGATAAATCAATGGAGGTAAGGGCAATTGTTTGTGTCAACAATCTATTGGTAGTATTTGGGAGTTTTGAACTTAAAATAATTAAAAATTAAATATTTGGTATAGATATTTTATAAGAGTAAATAGTGTTAAAACTTTTAAAAGGGCATATGCAAACTGCAAATTGTCCATTCCTTGGCCAAAATGATATGCAGTATCTTGAATTTGTTGATTATGTTATGTTTAGAAGACAAATTTTCTTTTCTAATCATTTTTGTTGCCGTTCATCAGATAAAACTTACTCTTGGGGTTTGAAACCGTACCTCTCCTCGGGAATATAGATCTTTCATCAAGCCATTTATTTTTAAATTTGTTTAAAGTCCATGATTTTATGGTAACTTATAATACCAAAAAAATGGCCTTTCACCACGGCCCGAGGTTCGTGACAACAACATCGTAACAAATAGTGGTTTTAGTTACGTGAATATCCGTGACAAAAAAATATCATCCTGGTCAATGTTTCAAGTTTATTAGTTATGCAAAAAATATGTAACAAATAGGGAGATTGTAGACTTTGATTAAAATATATTAGTTATGATAGTTTTTCGTAACAACTGGTCAAAATAATATTAATTAAACAAAAATTTTACAATAAAAAAAAGGTAAAAATGCAAGTGCACTTTCACTCAACAGAAAAAAATAAACACAAACACGCTTCTAGAGATCTAGGGCATCATATTTCTCATTCCAGTACTTAGAAAAATCAAACAAATTTAGGGCATAATATTTCGTCCCCTCCAACGATCGACAACTCTCTTCTTTCTTTCGCCGACGAGACGCGCATAGTTGTGGGATTGAGCAGATAGTCCGGCGCCGGCATCCAAGTAATGTTTTAAAGTTTTCTCCCGTATTATTTGGTGTCGATTCACAGTTCTTCATCTTTTCCTATATGGAGAAATCAAATTAGGGAGTCTTAATATCCAGCTTCTTCCTCACGTTGATACAAAGCTCTGCTTTGGGGAGTATTTTTAGGTACGAACAAATTTCTTCCTCATCGTTACAATTTGTGTGTGAACATAGGTATTGAGCCCAAATTCAATTTTTCTTTATCGGTATATATTGTTCTTTCATTATATCTTGCGCTAACTCTCACATCTCACAAGGGTTTTCATATTTGACCTTGCAGTGCCAGGCTGCCCTGCCCCTTGTGCAATTTACTTTTTTTTATTCTAGATTTAAGATAGAACTATTATCAAAGTGATTCTTAATGTGTGTCTTCATTAATAACTCAGCTTCATAACGAAGATAATTCAATATTTTTATCACCACATTTTCAAATATGACTTTGCAAAAAATTAATAAAAGAAATGTGTATGTATGAAATGAAAAAAATTAAATATGAAAACTGGACAAAATATTAATAAATTTTAAATAACAAAATGAACCTGAAAAGCCACAGAGGCTTGTGGATTAAGGATTTATAGTGCGAATGCCAGAAATTGATGAATTGATTAAGCATCATATTAGAACGGTGAAATTGTAAATGGTGCTATTCAGACTACTCAAGTTTCTTTAGTAAACTTCTACCAGTCAATAAATGTTTTGGAAACAAAATAATTTTTGAAGTAGTGAATCAATTTCTGAATAGTATAATAAATATGATGTATGTGTGGAATGAAGAAGGAAATTAAACAAATGGGTTTCGTAACTAAGTCCATCTATTTCATTCCATGAATATATATATACACATGCACATGGTATGCATTATCATCTTCTTATCATTGTCTGTATGTCTGTTATTGAAAAACTTTTGTACTCATTACTGCTGCATTCATTAATATTAGACTGTTTCTTTCCTTAGTCCAGACATTGTTTTACCATTTCTTTAGTTAAATTGTTGTTGTGGGCTTAAATTAAATTAGGCGAGCTGTTCATTTGTTAATTATCTTAGCTGTTGTAAATTAGTTTAGTTTGATGTGTGATATATTAATTTAGTGAACCAACAGTCAATTTAGTTTGTAATGTATATATCTTAGTTGTTGTTGCAAATTTAATTAGTTCTAGCCTACCTAGTTAATCAATCTCATTGTAATTGTAATAGGCTTAGTTAGTTTAGATTGTTTAGGTTAAATTTCATTCCTTACTATGTATGTGGTACATTACATAGTTAATATAATCTACTGTTGTCATTATATTTAGGCTAGTTTAATTATGTTGCTCCTTGCTTGGTTAGTTGTTAATTAGTTAGCTTCGTTCCCATCAGAATAATAGCATTTCACACTAGTAATCCTTTCTTTTAGTTTTATGTACTTCAAATGTTAATTCTGCTCTATCTAGTATAATTATTGACTAATGTTTTCACTTCTTTTGACTTGTTCTTGTTGCCATAGTTTTGTTCCAAATCTAGATTTATTTTTTGTTCAAATTGTGGTTTATTAGATAGTCCAATTAGTGACCTATCAATTATCATCTCATTCATTATCCTCCACATGAACATATGTATTTATTTGCACATGACATGCATTATCATCTTCTTCTCATTGTCGTTTGTCTGTTATATCCATCTTGCACACAAAACTCCATATCCCTCTTGAAAATGCCTATTTTGCCATTTCTGCATTCAGACCAGCATATTCTCGGTGCACCATTATGATCTCAAATGCATTTCTACCAAGAACTACAGTAAAAAAATCAGATAAGGAATTCACATTCACATTCATATTATAGACTTATTGCATTCTAAATAGTAAATGTCAACAAACTTCACAACAAGAGTAGAAATGTTGAAATCACAACATAGTTGAGATCTGAAAAGGTGATCAAAACATTTGTATTCAGTCATTTTGTTAAAGGGGACTACACTATTTTCTGATGAAAAACAAAAACTAGAAGATATCAGATTAAACCCTGGGAAATTGACATAATTTAGTACATGCAATTGTGCAAGGAATCTTCAAAAAACTAAAGTCATATAGGAATATTGAAATCAACAGATCTCGTTGTACATGCATAAAATAATACATTTCACTTCATTTTAAATACTACGCCAACAAATTAGCCTTGATGATGCATAGTCCATTATTATAGTTTCCAATAGTACATATTAGAAAATGCATTAAATATATTCACCTATGCATGTATTGTTCGGATGTTCTTTTGGTGATTTATTGAGTTTAATCTGGGTGCAATTATTTTTTAATAAAGGAGAATCGGGTTTCCGATATTAAGACATGGTCTGATGCTAAACCACATATTGCATATTTGCATAATTAGGTCATTACAAGATTGCTACATTTTATTTACATGTACTTGTCCAATAAACTTTCATGATATATGCAATTCAAATAAGAGAAATTGTTACTATAACACAAAGTAAATGAGGCTAGAACAAAGTCGTGGTGAAGGCTAATTATTCATCAAAGACATAAGGGATGGGTATGCTAGGTTTAAAATCATAATGTCAACTTCAATATGCATAATCAAATCCATTTTTAGAAAAAAAGAACAAATTTAAATTAACAATATATGCAATGAGACAAAACCAACCTTTGTTGATTCTCCAGCCATATCTGAAAATAGAACTCTTATGCGCTTCAAAACTTTAGGTGCGAAAAGATGTTATTTTTGTGGACATAAGGAAAAAACCGCATGTATTGATATATCCCGCAGATGTAAAAATGGATTAATTAATTAACTAATTACTTAATTATATTAAATTTGCCATAATAGCATTATATATCCTTACTCTCTAGCATGCACATCGTTGTATTTTCTTCTTATTACTCACAACACTAGAGGAAGATGAAAATGTATAAGGTTGAGCTAAGAGCCATGAGAGTACCCTTCAGATTTTTTAGCACACTCAAATAATGTCTAGAATGGTTACATTTAGTATTCATTCTATCTTTTAAGGCAGGGTAACCGTGTGCGAATTTGCCCATATTTTAGGATATTATTTTGTAGTTTGAAATTAAGCTCAAATCTAATAGAACTCAAAGATTAAACTTGAAGCTCAATTAGAGTTTGTAAAAAAAATGGTTTGTAAATTCGATGTTGATGTGCAAAGACATTGGGGAATTCTTATATTGGTTGGTCAATTTTTTGGACCGTTTGAAAATCAGTTGGGTCAAATATTACACTTGAAATATCCCTTTTAATTAATGAAACTTTTTCCATATCCGCCCTCAAACGTAGAGATTTATCTCAAATCAGGTAAATTGTGTCTTTTCAATCTTCTACAATACTTTGGATTAAAGATTAAATGTATTATGGCCGTTAATTTTACAGCAAAATAGCATAAGAGTCAAGTTCAAAGAAATTAGTTGGACTACACTGGTTATGGAAATCTCCCGTAATTAAAAATCCATATTCGGTGCCTCGTGTCGAAAGCTTACCTAATATTATGATGGTCAGATAGATGACGCATCCTATAGTTGTTGTTATTATTATTATTATTATTATTATTATTTGACGAGAGATATCCTAAGATCTTAGAGTGTTTGGTTGTTTAAGTTACTGCACAAATGTCAGCCCTCTTAAGACAAAGTTTGATCTTAGAGCTCACAAATGCATCTTCCTTGGCTTCCCTACCGGTCAAAAAGGTTACATACTATATGACCTAGACCAAAGAAAACAAATAGTCTCCCATGATGTGATCTTTTATGAGAATCATTTCCTGTTCTCCTCATCTAATACCCATGCACCTCAATCCAGTCCTCTTCTTGACCTGAACCCTTTCAGTTTATCAGAAGACATGCCTTCTATCTCAAATATACGAACCACTCCTCACACACCAGTCTAACCAATCCAGCCTAACTTACCTTCAAACCAAACTTACTCTTATGTTCCTCAACTATGCCCCCTATTTTCTCCTATACTTGATCTTTTTTTTTTTCTGTTTTCCCATCACCTTCTCATCTGCCTGATGCACTTCCTGACACTTCCCCATCCCTTCCATCTAGTTCTGAACCCAACATCAACTCCTATGTCCTCCTTAAGCGTCAATCAAAGAAGCCTGCTTGGATGCAAGACTACATTTGTCATGCCTCCACACCTCCTCACAAGAACTTATCTTTTATTCTTGTGCGGCATAGTGTTGCCACTGTTAGTGATCAAGAACCTACGTCCTATGCTCAAGCCCAATGTAACTCCTCTTGGAAACATGCCATGGAAGAAAAACCAATTGTATTGGAGAAAAATCACACATAGACATCCATTTCCTTGCCCAGTGATGTAAAGCCTATCTCATGTAAGTGGGTATATCGCATCAAGAGAAATGCTGATGGAAGTGTGCAACAATATAAAACTAGATAGTTGCCAGAAGTTATTTGCAAGTCCCAGGTAAGGATTATACAGAATCCTTTGTTCCAGTTGCTAAGGCAGTGACAGTCAGAATGATTATTGCTCTTGCTTTTTTAAAAAGATGGGTTGTTCACCAACTTGACATTAATAATGTGTTTCTTCATAGGTATTTGAAGGAAGATATCTATATAGTTCTCCCTCAAGGCAACAATATTCCACCCAATCAGGTTTGTAAGTTGCATAAATCTATCTACTGGCTAAAGCAAACCCCTTGGAAGTGGTATAAAAGGCTTACAAAAAAGATTTTGGAGTTGGGTTTTATGGTCTCAGCTCATGATCATTGTCTTTTTACATGTACCAAGACGATAAGCTTGTCATCCTTCTGATCTATGTTGATGACATTTTGCTCACAAGTACAGATTCATCTCTTATAAGTGAAGTGAAACAATTTCTGCATAAAGAATTAACTATCAAGGATCTTGGACATGCTGATTTATTTTTTGGTATACAAATTGAGTCTATATTAGATGGTCTGTGGTTTCTAAACAACGTTTCATTGAGAATATTCTTATTGATTATGGTATGCAAGCTTTCAATTCATGTCCTACACCTTTTGTGGTAGGGTCTAAGCTTCAAAATCACAGGCAAAGCCCTACACAATCCAACAAGATATCAAAGAATTGTTGGTAGACTGTTATACTTGACAATGACTCGGCCAAATATCTATTACTCTATTCAACAACTCACTCAATTCATGGCATGTCCAACTACAGATCATTGGTAGGTTGCTCAACACGTGCTCAAATACTTGAGTGGAACTAAGCACTTGCAAATATTCTTTCCAGCCACATGTGACATTTCTTTGACTGCATTCTCTGATGTAGACTGGGCATGTTGCATGGACACCAGAAAATCTTTAACTGGTTTTTGTATCTTCCTTTGACCATGTCTTGTTTCATAGGAGACCAAAAAGCAACCCACAATAGCTCGTTCATCCAGAGAGGTTGAGTATGGAGCTTTGGCTACAACAGTTTCAGAATTGCTTTGGCTTTCTTACTTGCTTCGTGATCTTAGTGTCCCTTTTATCTCTCCCTATTGTGATAATCAAGCCACTATCCATATCGTGCAAAATCTTATCCACCATGAGTGCACCAAACATGTTGACATTGATTGTCATTTTATTCATCAACAGTACACTTCCGGATTCATTAATCCCATTTATGTCCCCTCTTCCCAACAACTTATTGATGCCTTCACTAAGCCTCTTGCACATGTTGTTTTTCGATCTGCTTATGTCAAGTGGAACTTGGGTTTACCCAAGTTCACCTTGAGAGGGGGATGATCAGTGAAGATAATGGACAGAAGCAGCAGCAGCAGAATATTAGGACTACCTATTAGATTCCTAATTTGTTATTTTGTTATAGCTTGTAGGCATAATAGATTACCGGTGTAGAGAGTTTGTTAATTTGTTAAGTTCTTAATATATAAAGATAGATATCAATAGCAGGGCTGCAATATACAATTTTTGCTCTCTTAATATACAAAATGGCATATGAGAGTTTTCAATGCTTTGCATATTTATTTTTCTTTTTACTGCGTATCTAAACCTTTATCAGTGGTTAGGTAGCTTGTCTCTTTTATGATAAATGTGGTACTATTATGACTCATATTATTTATATGATATGTGTCATTTAATTATGATAGGTGGCAAATTGATGACTAATCATTTAACTTCTTGCCTATAAATAAGGTATTTGTACTTCATTTGGAAAGAAAATAATAATACACAAATTAATTCTCTCCATGTTGTCTCTCTCTCCCTCCGTACTTGATAGTTAGAAATCGCATGCATTTTATATTCATATCATATGCGATATTTGGATGATTTTGATTGGATTCTACCTAATTTATATGTGAATTGTTTATTTACTGTGTGCAAAGGGCAAATATCAAATTTGGCATAATTGGCAGAAAAATGAAAGAAAAATTCAGATTTGCACAACCTAGTTAGTCATGACCATGACTAACTACACCCTCTTGATATGAGAAATTAATTAAAGGTCCAAAAGCCCATCCACAAAATAATTAGGACA